GCTTCCACAGCCACTGTTTCTTGAAAGTAATGGGAGAGCGAGACCCTGCTGGGAGGAGGGGAGCTGTCCACTGCCGCGGTGCTGATCCATCCACCACTCAACCCTGGGCAGGAGCCCAGAGTCTTCCCAGTGCTCAGGACCCCTGCTAACCTCCAGTCAGTAATAGTGGGGGAGTAGGGACAGACATGGGACAAGAAACTGCGAGAAACCACCCTTGCTGAAGATTCTAGTCCTGGAGATATAAGACAAGCTTCAGTGCTCCACTGTAGCTCAGAGACAGGAAATGAACAGAAGCCAGACATCCTTAGAAGTCAGTCCAAACTCAGAGAAGCCATTGTTCATGGAGCGGTTCAATGCCTCACAGTCTAACACTCAGGAAGATCAATCACACACTTCTGTCCTCGTGGAGCCAGTACAGGTTGCAAATAAAGAAGCTGCTGCTGCCATGGGCAGGTTTAATGGATTTTCAAGGCAAAGTACAAACCTCACTGGCTGGCTGTGTGGGCACGGTGAGTTCCAGTGGACAGGAATGGCTCTATATTTTGGCCAGGCGGGATCTAGCTGGACTGTAGCTCCTTCTGTACACCCAGTTGTGGGGGCAGCTGTGGTGTGATGGCAGAGCCCTGGGCTGGGGCCAGGGAGGGGATGGGCATTGCAACCCAGACTTACCATGACTATCTGTGAGAACTTGGGCAAGGTGCATAGCTGCAAGACCCTATCATCTCATCCACAGGTGGGATGGCGATTCCTATCCTATGAACTTTAAGTGGAGAAATGAATGTAAAGTGCTCCGAAGAAGGCCCGACCCACAAGGAGCTCTTGAGTTTACATGTGTCACACTGACATCTTATACCACCCAACTGATGGTGACCCCAAGGACCCAGCTTCTGAAGGAAGGCAGAGGAGGGCAAGATAGGAGTGATGGTTGATAAACATCATCAGAAGTGACCAAATCTGGGAGCAGAACAGAGTTGCATGATTACATGGATAGCATCCACATTCCTTCCCTCCTTAACTGAAGTCCTGGGCACATGGATTAACTTTTTAAACCTCAGTTTCCCCATATGTATAATGGTGGTAACTATAGCCTCTCTGATATAGGGTTGCTGTGAAGAATGAGTGAGATTAGGTACACAGACTGTCTGGATCATCACCAACCTTTGATAAATGTTCTTAGCATCATGAGTCCCATCAGACAGAGGTACCTCATCTCTCCCAGGAGACCACCAGTCAAGACTGCCAGGATGCAAGCTCCCTCTTCTTTCTGATGGGCCTACTTCCTTCTATTTCTGGTGTGTGGGGTCTGGTTTCAGCCATGGAGACTCAAGAGTGGCAAAGATCCTGTCCAGACAGCCAATTCCCCTTCTCCCTGCTAATAACAGAGTCCTGATGGTCCTGTTGGAAAAAAAACTGTTCAGTTTTTTCTGTTCACCTAGCTTGAAGGCTGAGCCAGGAGTCTGCATGAACAGCCTGTCTGGAGAGATACCACCACAGAGGTAACCACTCTGGAAGTGAGCTGAAGCCGGCAGCAGAGAGGACATTGGTGACATTCCAGTTTCTGTTCAGCTTATATAAATCTTTCACCTCTTTTTAAAGATAGCCATGGAAAGGACCACCTCTCACTGTGAGTATATGTGCTCTGTGTGTGTGTGTGCATGTGTGTATTCAAGCACACATGTGACAAGTCGTGTGTGATGAATATAGTATCACAGTGGAAAGAACATGGTTTTTAACGTCCAATAGATAAGGATTCTTTAATCTTGGCTCTGCCATCTTACTTCATTCTGCCCTATTGATGCCCACCTGGAGTGACCTTGAACAAACTGTGAGTCTTTCTGGGTCTTGGCTCCTTCACATGTCAAGATAGACTCATGACACTCATGCTGGAGGGTTGTGGTTAATGATTCCCTACCACAGGTATATGCACCCGCCACTATGTTGATCTATATTCAACAATCTGAAGAGATGAGGCTCAGTTCTGGTTTTGAATATGTCCTTGGGGCCCAGTTTCAGTATTTAATGACTCATGTTAATGCTGTCATGAACATCTCATCATTTCTCTCAGGTCAGAGAAGTATTCAGGCATACAGATCTGTTCACAGTGTGACACCCGCCCCCCTAAGGATAGGCTCTGCACCCTGACATCTCATGTCCCCTGATCAGATGTGCCAGATGCTTGAGTTCACTCACAAGAGGCAGAGGGGGCCCAGCATCCAGGCCTGGACAGGCACAGGCATCTCCCCTCCTGGTGATTATGGCCTTACTGTTGGTGTCTGGGGCTCTGTTAGGACCTGCATCCAGTGAGGCCCAGGTTGGCTGAAGCCATGGGGGCTGGGTACCTGGTCATCATGGAGGCCTCCTTCAGCCTCCCTAGGAGCAGGAAATATTGTTCACAACCAAAAGAAAATTAACTGTTCTTTAGGAAACTGAGTTAAAGTATTCTGAGTGTCCTTCTGGCATTTTAATCTTTCAATATTGCCTTTAAGAATTCAGAAGGCAGGGATGCCTGGATGGCTCAGTGGTTGAGCATCTGCCTTCGGCTCAGGTCATGATCCTGGGTCCCGGGATCAAGTCCCACATCAGGTTCCCCATGGGGAGCCTGCTTCTCCCTCTGCCTATGTCTCTGCCTTTCTCTGTATGTCTCTCATTAATAAAATTTTTAAAAAATCTTAAAAAAGAATTCAGAAGGCAAATTCAAAATGTGTGTGCATGTATGTGCATGTTCACTGGCTATTTGCTCTTGGACCTGGTTACATGGCCGCTGATATCATTTTAATGTTGCTAAGTTGAGATGCTTTCAAGTTCCTGATCAAGGACACCTGCTTGAGAAGGTGACATAAGACCTTCAGAGCGTGCAGAAGGAACCAATCTATGGACCTACTGATACCTACTTCCTCCCTTACCAACTCTCTCCTGTGTGCTCTTTGAGCTTCAGTGTCCTTTTCTTGTCATTGTGGCAATGATTAAATAAAGTGTGATAATGTTGAATGTGTCCTGTAAATGCCGAAGTGCTCTGAGGGTACTAGTTAGGGCTTGGCATTGTACTTCCTACACATGCTGGTGACCGGTGAGCGTGTGCCTCCAGGCCAGAACATCAGACCACTGTTGGAGGATGTGCTCAGGTGATGAGCAGACATCCAGCTGGCCCAACGGCCCACTTCTCATTGAGCGTGCTCTCCAGGCATACTCACAGATCATCCTCATTGGAGTTACCTAAGGAGCCCACTGACAATGCAGAGCCCCAGACCTGCTGACTTGGAAACCCCAAGTATGACACAAAAATCCCAATCTTTAACCAGCACCCATGTTTGTCGGTGAGTCTGCCAAACACCAAAGTGTGAGACTCATGGGCCCAATGGTGCCCCCAGAAATGTATTCCTTGATTCATTTACTTTACAGCAGTACATGGACACCTAGCTCATGCCAGGGGCTGTGTGTGGGGAGCCTTTGAGAGCAGGAGATGCACAGGTGAACACCTCACTCTCACGTCACACACCAAGTATCTAATGAAGACACCTGAAATCTGTGGGCCCCACCAGGGGGCCAAACGATGCATAGACTGCTGGTATTCAGCTCTGTCTCCTCCCCCGGGAGGCAAGGCTCTGCACACACACCATTATAGATGCTGTCCACCAGAGCTTTGAAAGGTAAAGAGGGAAACTGGGACTCAGCAAGTTTGCCCAGGGTCCTAGGACAGTGGTGGTGTGGTGGTAAAGGTTCAATCAGGCTCTCAGGGTTGGGGAGGGAAGCCCTGCTCCATACACTTTCCCTGCAGGGTTTTAGTAGACGGACAGAAGGGCCATCATCTCCGTGCACCTTCCTGACGGTAGGCTCAGACCTTGCATGTCCAGAGTCCCTAAGGCTGCCACCAAGCCATGCCACCCGCCATCCTCCCCTTTTTCTGAAGAGCTTTGGCACATTATGTCATCCAGGTCCTTCATAAATTGGAACTTGCTGTCTCACCAGACCCAGGGCAGATGGTGTGTGGCTGACAGATGGCCGCAGCTGGAACTCGGGCGGGGAATACTGAGCCACACCACGGCTCTGCCGAGGCTGGCTGTGGACTGTGGACGGACAGGCTGGCCCAAGTGTGCGTGCTCAGAGTCAGATAAAGGGCTATTCTGGCAGAGGGGATGCCCAGAGGTTGTCACAGCGAGCCCCTGCATCCCCCCAGCATCCCCCCGCAGACTTGAGCAGCTCTGGCTGGAAGGTGATGGGAAGAGAGCACCACAGGTGCCCTGGAGCCAGGCCCTTGGCCACGCAGGATGGAGGAATGTGGGTTCCTTCGCTCTCAGCCCTCTGGGCCGAGGCAGCCTCCCCGAGTTCCCCCAGCGCAGCCCGGAGAGGGAGGAGCGCCCCCGCCCTGCGAAGCTCAGCCCGGCCCTCCACGTCCAGGTCTGGCTGGGCTGCTGCTCGGCCTGGGACAGGTGGGACCGAAGCGTGCAGGTGCCGGGGCAGCCGGCCGCCTTTCTCAGACAGACTTCCTGGACCCAGCCTGTCTCGGACACCCGGAGGGGAGGGCTGGAGGGGCGGGGAGCGACCGGGAGCCAATCACCTGCAGCGGAGCCTTCAGGGCTGGTTCTCTGGGTGTGAGTGTGTGTGTGTGTGTGTGTGCGCGCGCGCGCGCGCGCATCAGCGGGGATTTCTGTGATAGCAGCAGCCAGATTCCAGAGAGCGAGGGAGGAGGAGGGGGGAGGACCACGGGAGGGGAGGAGAAAGATTGGGGGTGGGAGAGGCAGACGGAGAGAGCAGCAGCGGGAGAGGGCAGAGGAGCGCAGCCCGGGAGAGCGCGCGGGCGCGGGCGCGGGCGCGGGCGGGACCGCAGAGCCGGTGGTTGCGCGGCGGCAGCGGCGGCGGCGGCCGGCGCCTGTAGGGATGGGGTGAGGGCCGCGGGGCGCACGGCGGCGGGGGCCGGGGGGCCGGGGGGGCGCGGGGCGGCGGCGGCGGGGGCGCCATGGCGACGGGTGGCGGGCCCTGAGCGCCCGCGGCGGGCGCGCACCATGAACTCGTGGGACGCGGGCCTGGCGGGGCTGCTGGTGGGCACGATGGGCGTCTCGCTGCTGTCCAACGCGCTGGTGCTGCTGTGCCTGCTGCACAGCGCCGACATCCGCCGCCAGGCGCCGGCGCTCTTCACCCTCAACCTCACGTGCGGCAACCTGCTGTGCACCGTGCTCAACATGCCGCTCACGCTGGCCGGCGTCGTGGCGCAGCGGCAGCCCGCGGGGGACCGCCTGTGCCGCCTGGCCGCCTTCCTCGACACCTTCCTGGCCACCAACTCCATGCTCAGCATGGCCGCGCTCAGCATCGACCGCTGGGTGGCCGTGGTCTTCCCGCTGAGCTACCGCGCCAAGATGCGCCTCCGCGACGCCGCGCTCATGGTGGCCTACACGTGGCTGCACGCGCTCGCCTTCCCCGCCGCCGCGCTCGCCCTGTCCTGGCTCGGCTTCCACCAGCTGTACGCGTCGTGCACGCTGTGCAGCCGGCGGCCGGACGAGCGCCTGCGCTTCGCCGTCTTCACGGGCGCCTTCCACGCGCTCAGCTTCCTGCTGTCCTTCGTCGTGCTCTGCTGCACGTACCTCAAGGTGCTCAAGGTGGCTCGCTTCCACTGCAAGCGCATCGACGTGATCACCATGCAGACGCTCGTGCTGCTCGTGGACATCCACCCCAGGTGAGGGGGGCGCTGGGGGAGCGTGGGAGGGCCCCTGGTGGGAGGTAGGGGGTCCCTGTGCGCCCCCGACGCCCCAGCGTGCAGCCTCGGGCAGGTCCCTTGGCTATGGAGCCTCCATTCTTTCTTCGGGAAGCTCAGGTGGAAGTGGGGGTGGGGGGGACCGGGGCTGTGGGTCTTGAGACAGGGGCTTAGAGCATCCACAAAGCAGGGCCACCAAAAACGTGGGTGAGATGGTATGTACGTTTTTTGAAGCCTCGGAAGAAAGCGGCGTCAGGACTTTGTTGGATTGCTTATCCTTCTTCCGTGTGTTTGCGGATTCCACCTTAGCCAGCATGCGGAAGGCAGGCAGTGGTCTCTGCTGGCTGCTTGAGTCCTTTAAAAGGCTCCACGCGGGCCCTGAGAGTGTGGCTTAGGCGCCCGGGGAGCCCCTCGAGAGCTCTTGGAGTGAGAATGTGCTGCTCTTCTGGGTCCTTCCTTTCTCTGGTGTCTGATGCTGCCTCTGTCTCCTGATCCTGTGTGAGAGAGAGTCCTCGGGCTGCACTTTCCTCTGTGGGTCCTGAAAAGAGCATCTAAGGGAGCTGGAGGAGGGGGGATGTCTCTTCCCGCCCTTGCCAAATGGCACTGTCCTGCGTTTCCCAGACTTGGAGGTCAGAGGCCCCTGCAGAGGGGCAGTATCACCCACAGGGCTCCTGGCACAAAACCTGCCCACACCACCTCCTGCTCACCTGGCTGCCGTCTGAGAAAGGCAGGTCGGGGTGGGCAGTTCAGGTGCAGGTACGCCCTGGGAACTCACGCCATCCCCTGGAGCATCTCCGGGAAGAAAGGAAGAAACTCTTAGCTGAGGTGTCCTGAGCTCACCTGGGTTTTCCTTATGAGGCTAGCAAATCAAGGAAGGAAATGGCTGGTGGTGTCTCTAAGGACTGTTCTTCTGTATCTCAACGTTCCAGGGAAGGGCAGGCTTCCCTTCTGTCACCCAGGATCCTACGGTACCAGGCTTTGGCTTCCAGATGGCACAGAAAGTGAGGTAGACAGAGAGCTCCTTGAGGAAGGGGGGGGGGCTGGGGGCAGTGAGAGGGAGCTGGGTCCTTAGCATGCGAATGCCCCTCCCCCCCCGGGGAGAAGCAAGCTCATGGCTGAGGGGGACAGACCGGATGTGTCGGTCTGAGCAAGGGTTCATTCAATGTGAGTCATTTCTGCCCATGAGCAACAGAAAGAAGAGCCCTTAAACTTCACTGTGTCTGCACGTGCAGAGGGAGGCATGTGTGCGTTCATTGTTTCTCCCCAGAATGACCCTTCCTCATTACGTGCTGGGCCAAAGCTTCCAGCCTTCCAGTCTTCTCCATGGGATCATGGACAGTGTGTTATATGAATGACCAATAGCACAAGGACACCAGGGCATATGAACAGTCGCGTGTGTTCATGTGTAAACTGCATGTCTAACGGACGAGCCAGCACATGTGCACCTGTCACAGGTGACATGCATGCGCACACTGCCCACAAAGATCTGGGCTCATTCCCTGCCCGTGTCTGTTTATGGTTCAGTGTCGCTTATGGTAATATTGTGCAGTCACAACTGCATCTCCCGGGGTGTGGGGACCTTGCTTTAGAAGGTGCATCCCTAGGACTTGACGGGGGCTCTTTTAGAAGCAATAGGCAATGTTGCTGAACAACTAGGACTAGAAGGATTCCTATCGGAGGCCCTCCCACCAGGAGTCTAAGCAGAGAAGGGGTTGAGCCAGGAAAGGAATCAGTTCTCATTCAGACCAGTCACAAATCCCATCCGTGCTGCCCATCCATGTTCCAGAACAGGAGTCAGCCCATTTGGGATATAGGGCCGTCTCCACTCTTGCACAACTTGCAAATCTGTCACCGACTCCAGGCTGCTGCTCTGCTGCCCTCCAGTCTCCTCTGTTCCCTCTGTTCCCCTCTGGGGGAACCCTGACCTCTTCTAAGCCCCAGGATGCTGTCAGGAGCCCCTTCTCCCAGTGCCATGGGTCCCTGGGGCACCAAGGAACAGTGCTAGTCTGTACCGGGGAGAAGGGCTGCTGAGGCAGGGATGGCCCCCGGCCAGTTCAGACAGGCTCCGCTGGCCGAGGGCTGGCCTGAGGTGACAGCATAATGGGCAGCTGTGACAGCACTGTCCCTTCAGTGAACCCAGCCTGCCTTCTGTGCGGAGTCGAGTCCCCAGAGCAAGAGGGTGGGTGTTGGGCCACAGAGGAGGGCACCAGCTTCCTGACAGCTGATCCACAGCCTGTTTTCTTGGCAGCCCCAAACTCTTCCTCCCCACAAATGAGAAATTGCGATCTAGCTCTGTCAGATGGAGAAGGCTGCCCCTTGAACGTCCAAGCCCTAGGAACGAAGGCTCTAGAAAGATCAGCCAAGGCTCCTGGGCTGGTTTGGTGCTGACAGCCAGGGGCACCTGGGGATCAGCAGAAGCCAGGCCTCCTTATCTGGACAGCCAGGACAGCAGGTGGAGTCTTTGCTCACTGGAAGTTTTCTTTAACAGCCACCACACTAATGGCCTCCTGGGACTTAATTAGAAGGGACCATTCTGAGTTCCCTGAGGCCCAGGGTGACGTTTGTCAGAAAGCTCCCTGTCGGTGTCTGCTCTTCCCACAGAGTGTTTAACGCCGCGAGAGACAGGCTGGACTCCTTTGTTTCAATACTGCCAGAAGATCAGGGACCCTCTGTTTTAAATTAAATCTGTCCTGAGAGGCATTCCCCACTCCAGTCTTCCTGAGGTGGCTTTCCAAGTTGCGACATGCATAAAGCAATTAGGAATTGCTAATATTTTTTTCCCACCTGGTCCTCCAACTGCTCAGTTTGCTACATTCTGTTCTCCCAAACCACAGCTCCGGACTAGGAATAGTGGGTCCTCTCTCTGGTGCTGCCAGAGGCATGGGCTTTCACCTGCGTGGGACATAGGTGGGGCGTTGGGGCACCGAGGTGGCCTCCCTGCTCTCCTGGTCCAGCTGGGGGTCCGCCGCTCACTGGCACGGGTCTGTGATTTCACAGTTGGTAAAGCACACTCCTCCTTGTGACCAGGGTCTACTGAGGGTTGGGTAGGTGCCCGCCCCAGGGGGTGTCCGAGCTGTGGCATTGGAGATGGAAGGGCCCATGGAGACAACCTCACTGTGCCCTTGGCTTTACAGGGGAGGAAATTAGGAGACCCGGGGAAGGAGGGGAGGCCACTTGCCTAATTTAACAGATCAAGGATGTGGCTCGAGCCAAAATGTGTGCCCCGTTCTGCCCCTAAGATTTATGGATGGGACAAAAGTGCAAATAGAGGCTCACCATCTATATAAATATTTAGAAGTTCTAAATTAAGCCTACAAACTGTTAAATGAAATATGTTCTGTCCTCCTACCTTGACAAGTATACATTTAAAATGCGCTGCAAGGCTGGGTTCAAATTTAGACTTCTCGGGCTCCGTGGAGTTCAGCCCCATCCGTGGTGGGGGGCACCGAGCACACAGCCCCTGCCTCTCCTCCCAGCCCTGGTTCTACTCCCGCCTCAGCCTCGAGCCGAGCACACATGGCCCTGTCCACCCTCAGGGAGATTGCCTGTTCACGTCCCAAAAGCAGGATCGGGGCATCTAGGGGGGAGTTCTGTATTCCACGTACTTGGGGCCTGACGTGGAATCGGCGACGTGGGCTCTGGGTGGGCATGTGAAGTCTTCAGTTCGTGGGGAGGGGCGTCGTCCCCTCACCTTCCAGGGCCCAGCACAGGGCCCCCCTCTTGTGAGATCTGAGGACATGAATTTTCACACTAGTGTCCTGACCCCAAACTCAAGGTCTGCTCCCCCATTGGTCAGCCTGTTCCCTTGCCTTTTGTTTTGTTCTTTTAAAAGCCAGGAAACAAATCTGGATTACCCTGGGAGCACTTGGAGCATGCGCTCTGGACCGTCTGCAGTCATCTGAGGCCCTTTCAGGGCTCAGACCATTGTGTTGGGCCTGGAGGTGTCTGGGACTGGAAGATATTGGCCGTGATTGCCTCATTTATTCACTTCAGATATTCCCAGCCTTCTCTGTCCCCTCTGCCATTTATTGACGCCTACCAGGGAACATCTCTTTGGCCCCACATGTCACAATGCCGGAAAGGCCATCTCTTTGTCACAGGGAAGCTCTGTGTCCTGTGGCAGCCCTTGGGAACCCCCACTCTGATGCGCTTGCTTGTACTCTGGTCGAATGTTGCTGGCCAAGGGAAATTGGAGCCCCTCGCCCTATGAATCTACGATTCGGCTTATAAGTCTGAGGACTCCCGCTGCTACTCCTGTGCCCAGAAATATCTGGAGAATGCATTAGTGTGGCTAGATGCAGCTTGTTTCTTGCTCTGGGATCCTGTGGAGGGCAGTGGGATCTGGGGGAGATACCCCAGATCCTGAAGTCAGGAGTCCTGGTTCTGTCCTGAACTCATTGTGGGACCCTGGGCATGGCATAAACCCTGCTGGCCCTCTGTGTCCTCATCTGCAAATCAAACTGTAGCTCACAGGGCTACAAGATTTCAAAGAGCTCAGTTTTGCAAAGCTATGGTGGGGGAAAAATGAGAGCAAGTGCAGAGTGATTTTATTATTTTGTTCTGGGTGCAGGTGAGCTGCTCTCATATTGTGCTTAACAATAATGATAAGCAAGAGGGTTGCATGGCCGCCCTGCCCTCCTTCTGACATCCTCCCGGCCTCACCTGGTAATCAGGAGATCTCTGGGCAGGGGAGATGGATCCATCCTCTTGCAGGTGTTCAGGGAAGCAGCAGTGTGGTTCCTGACCAGGAGCGCCAGTAATGGGGCGCTGGCTCTTCCAGCATCTCACTCTCTAGGGGAGGGGGGCCCATTGCTCTCTGCTTTGAGCCTCATTTTCTCCATCTGTGAGCTGGGTTGGGTAGATGAGGGGGTTCCCCATACTACACGTGACTGTGTGACTGTGGGGTCTAGCCAGTCTGTCTCAGAGCAGAGACATGACTAGGCCCATGTGGATGCTAACCCAGACACAACATCCACCACCCCCGTGGTATGCCAGGAGTCATTAAGACAGCTTCCACTGGGTTCCTGGAGGCCAGAGAAGGTCACAGAGCCAGCGCAAGAGTCAGGAGTCAGCTCAGACCTCCTCTGGAACAGCCCTTGGTTGCAGCTATTTCTTCCTGTCTGTCTCTCACAAATGCACAGGGCAGAAAGAAAAACTTTTGCAATGGGAGGGAGCCCTGTGGTTTTGGAGTTCAAGATAGTACTGGAACATAGTAATTGTTCAATAAACATGTTGAATAGATAATAATCACGGTTGCTATTTATTGAGGGCTGAGTCAGGCACTGTCCTAGGTACATTTTGGATGTTAATCTCAGTAAGACCCTATGAGATAGATACTCTTAGAACTATCATTTTATTTTTTATTTATTTATTTTTTTAGAACTATCATTTTAGAGATGAGGAGGCTGATGAACAGAGAGGTTGTATAACTTGCCTAAAGCCACGCAGAAATTAAATGGTGGAGCCTGGGTTTGAATCCAGAAGCCGGGCTCTGGTGCCACATGCTTCCTACCACACCATTAACAAAAAAGGACTCCAGGCTAGTGGAAGCTTTCATGGCCTTTCATCCATTGACAAGACTGCTTTATTCAATCTGCTCAAGGTTTCTAAGGCTCACTTTAAAAAGTCTGTTTCAGAACAGGTTTCTCCCATCATCTCTTTTGAGGAGGTCACTTAAATGATTGAGACTTAATTTTCTAAGATGTCTTTTTAAGGGTTCATCACTTTGTACAACACACACTGATTAGGGGGTTTCTGGATGTTAGATGTTGAGCTTTGCACCGAGGGCAGCCACAGATATAACATGTCTGCAGAGAGCTTGTGATTTAATTCTTCCTCCTGTACAAAGCTTTGCAAGAACAGTTAAAATTATTCCCCATAGATTTTTACAGTGTACAGTCATGACGCTGATCATTCTAGCCTGTACAGCGTCTACTTTATTCTTGTACGGTCACTGAAATGTGTCTGTTTATCCTCCCAAAGACCTCCGAAGCTTTTACCAGTATCTGCTTTTAAGTCTGCATTGTGTCATTAAGGGAGGACTATCTGGCGCAGCAAGGAGAGGGGAGACAACTGGGTGGTCAGCTCCTCGGCGGTGAGCTCAGTCCCTGCGGGCGGTGCCGGAGGGAGCTCCTCACTCCTCAAGAGCTTGGGACCTGATGAGTGATTTTTGTCCCTGACAAATGGTAACTCCAGTTATGGCTATTATGAAATTCCCCGTGGATCAATGAGGAACCAGATTCAGAGAGACTGAGTGAGTTCCCCAAGGCCACATAGCAAGGAGGGCAGAGCTTGGACTAGGACATCTAATCCAGAGCTCTTTCACTCATTAGGGTTATTCTAAAGCATCTGAGAAATGGATAACATCGTCAGGGTCACAGATTGGAGGGGGGGCCCAGTGCCATCATCAGCTTCCTTGGGGTACCCTTGTTTAGGCATTTATATGAATTCCGTGCTTTTTTTTTTTTTTAGGAGAGGCCTAGAATGCTCTACTTCTCTCATGGGGTGAGTGTGCCGCGATGGCTCAGGACACCCAGCTCATGTCCCAAATCTAGCAATTCTCAACTCAATTACATGAATGTTTTTGGGGAAATAATATTAAAACAAATGGGCCTATGTTATGGAGAATATACCAAACATGCTGTGCCCTAGGGTGACCATAGTCCTGGTTTGCCGAGTACTGATAGGGCTCTCCTAGGACACAGGACTTTGAGTTTTAAAATAGGACAATCTCAGGCAAACCAAGATAAATCGGTTATTTCACTGCACCCAGACCTCCTGGGTGAGGACCTGTACCTTCTCTCCACGCCCACCCATATCATGCACACGTCACAGGAGCCAGAAGACATTGGTAGGAGACTCTGCAGAGACCCAAGTATAAATGGAGAGCAAGGAGATTAAGACCGACGTTTGCTGTGTGACCTCAGGCATAACACCCCAGTCCTCCTGTTCCATCAGCTGTATTCTTCAGGTTTTCTGGATAAGATGATGCCCTGGTGCCTCCCAAAGGGTTTGTGAAGAGACCCCCCCCCCACACACACACACACGCACACTAGTTGGGAGATGACACTGAAGCCTCCAGAGTCAGATGGCCTGGGTTCAGATCCTGCCATCACCTAGGGCGACCAACTGTCCTGGTTTGCTCTAGGTGGAGGGGGTTCTCAGATGTGGGACTTTCCATTTTAAAACAGGGCCAGTCCCATGCAAAGCATCCAGGATGCAAGACTTTTAGTGCTAAAACCAGGACAGTCCCGATTACCCAGGACAAGTTGGTCATCCTATCACCACTCACCACTACTCACCGGCTGTGTGGCCTTGAGCAAGTTGCTTAACCTCTCTGTGCCTCATCTGCTTATGAGGCAAAAAAAAATAAAATTAAATTAAAAAAAGATTATAGTTGTATCAGTCCTCAATATATAAAGATGTTGAGAGCCTCAAATAAACCGACACCCATGAAACTCCATCAAAGTATCTAAAATGGGATGGATTAGTCTCAAGAAATGCGAGTTGTTACTAATATTAGTTATTAGAAATGAATTAGTAATGTCATTTCATTTTAATAATTTTACAACGAGTGTGAAACCTGTTTGTACCACACCAAACTCCAGCTCCCAACTCTACATTCCAAGTCAAGGAGGAAAAGTCCTGCAAGAATTTCAGGGGCCTTCAATCCAATCTAATGTGGAATTGTCCATCTGCGATCAGAAATATGGTGAAGAAGAGTTCTGATTCGGTGTTAAGATGATAGTTCTTGTGGAAGGAAGGGGAGGCTGCCCTGGCATTAATGCTGCCTGTGAACCCGGCTCATGCACATTCTCTCCACTCCTTGCCTTCCTTGAACAGACTGGCCTAAATTTGGAGTGAGGTCTCTGCAGCACAACAGGCCTCGTTCTTGCCAGATTATCCCCACTTCCTGGGCAACTCACTCTGTGGTCTTTCTCCTTGTTCATTTTTGGAATGATGTGATTTATTTTAAAAATAAACAGCAGAAACACCTGCCCACATGGAAACCCATGGGTTGGAGCATGTGGAACCTTGTGGCTGGACCTGCCCCTTGGACTCTGACAGTGGCAATGGACAGCTCGCTGGTGTTCATGAATTACCCCGTGGCTACAGGAAAGGGTGGCATGAACCACTTCTCTCAGTTGGTGGGAGATGTGAGTTCTCGAAAGGCCCTGGAGCAAGTAGAGTCAGGATGAGGATGTGGTTAGAAGCATAGGCAGCAAGCTCCTGATTCCATCCTCAAAGCTGTGTCCCTGATTTCCCAGAGACCTGGGAGTCTTAGCTTCACTGAGCTTGGTCCCTGAAGGAAACAAGTGACTTCACCCTGTGACCCCATAAGATAGGGTCTGTAGCTCCAGACAGGGCTGAGGCTTTGGGATGAAAGACACAGCGCTGAAGGCTGGAGGAAAGGAATCCCTGTGCCACCCTGCATGCACGGAGTCTGTATCACCCCAGGTAGAAAGGACGAGCTTCTGAGAAACACACACAAGGGTTCAAATCCTGTCTCCATTTACCAGCTGAGCAAACCAGTTGGCTTCACTGAGCTCATACTCTTCATTGTAAAACAGGGGAGGGAAAAACCCACCTGGCAGGTAAAACCCACCCGGCACGATGAATATCAGTAAAGACAAGATTTAGATTTACTACTTAGAGAATGTGGACTCTGGGGCTGGCATACAGCAGGTGACCAGTGGAGTTCGTGAATAGTAATAATGAGGATTTATATTTCTTTCCACTTGGGCACCATGCTAATTGCTTTATGTGCTTTATGCATTGAATGCATTTCATGCATCTGTGTGCTTTTTGCATTTAATTCTCAAATGAGCCCCTGAGGGCATTTTATTATATGACCATGTACATTTTATGGATGACACTGAGGCTTGGCAATGCCATGCACATGTCCAAACTCATGTATGTGTCCCAGGCCACGCACCTACGGCCAGGACTCGACCTCGGGTCTCCCTGGCTCTTCCCTGAGTCCCTGCACTCACAGCCCTGCCTGCGTTCATTGATAGCAAGTCGTCTTCCTCTCTCTCATGCGCAGTGTGCGGGAACGCTGTCTGGAGGAGCAGAAAAGGAGGCGGCAGCGGGCTACCAAGAAGATCAGCACCTTCATAGGGACCTTCCTCGTATGCTTTGCACCCTATGTGATCACCAGGTGAGCCCGACCAGTGGGACTTGGGTTTGGGAGGGCAAATCAGGGCCCGTGTGGCCTGAAATGGTCACCGACCTCTCTTGGATGCAGGTTTCCAGCAGGTGTGTCACGGGTGACAGTGAACTTGACAGGTTTGGTGAGAGTGGTGAGAAGCACATGCTTTTTCTCTCTGGCCCTCGGAACCAGAAGGGATGGAAATGATTCCCCACCTTGATTCCCAAATCACATCATCTAACCCTTTAGCCTCGGCCCCAGCCCCAAGAGGCCCCAAAGGAAGGGAAACAGGAGAATGGAGGGAGGAAGACGCCCTGCCCTGGTTAGGTTACTACTGCCCATCAAGCACGGTGTGGCCTCACCCCCAGGCATTCTCAACCTGGACACCCTGGTCCACAGCAGGTGCCATCTGCCCTCTGCACAGGGAGCAGGAGCCCACTCTGTGCCCAGCCAGGTAGGCTTGCCTATCTCACCACTCTGGGGAGCTCCTGCCTGTTAGCCAGGAGCCTGCCACCTTCACTCCCATCCGTCCCCCACAACCCCATCATGCTGCAAGTTGCAGCTCACTGGCCACAGGGCTGTGCATTCCAAAAGCCACCCTGCTCTACCTGCAGGATTTCTCTCTTGTGCTTTAGCCAGAAAAAAAGCATTATCCCATCAGTTTTGCACACTGGAGGGAGGAAAAAAGACTCACAACTCTATATCCAAAATGGCTTAACTATTCGGGAAGCTGACAATAAAAAGAGACTTTGGTGTTTGATTAGGAGGTGGATGTTGAGCCAGGGAGGTGGGATCTGCATATGTGTGTGTGTGTGTGTGTGTGTGTGTGTGTGTGAGAGAGAGAGAGAGAGAGAGAGAGAGAGAGAGAAATTGGAAAAAACACAGCCAGCATCCCAGCATCCTCAGCTGGCAGGGGGAAAGACTCCTGCCTGACTGTCCACCCCGGGGTGGCCTTGCCTGCTCTGGGGAGGAGGAGCCCACGGTAGCCAAGTGTCTCCGTCCATCCTTATCCTGAGCCGACATCTGATGCCCTGTAGAAAGCTATCTGCTTCCTTTGGTGCAGGAGAACATCTGTCCCCCCCCCAGGGGCCCTGCCGATGTGCAGACAGTGAGCCTGGCTCCCCCACGACAGCCCCCATCTCTTCTCCTCTGGGAGCATCTTCCACTGTCTCTTCACAGCTGCTTCCTCTGACGGAAATCTCACTTTACATGTAGGCCCTAGGTCGGTCTGCAGGTCCCTGCATAGGTCTGATCTGGGCAGAGCACAGCCATGTTCTTCCTTCTAGAACCGTCCACTAGACCTCAGCACTGCTGACATTTTGGTGGAACTCCCTTTGTGGTGGGGCTGCTCTGTGCCTTGTAGGTGTTCGCAGCACGGTGTCTTCTACCCACTGCTCACCACTACTTCCCTCCTGCTCCCCGGTTAACAACTAGAAATGTCTTCAGACACTGTTCTGGGGACCAGCGTCACCCCTGGTGGAGAACCCTTGGTCTAGATGCACTACATCCAGGCAGGATGCCAGAGTTTGCAAGGATCAGGTTTTCCAGGGGACATGAAGCCCAGGCAGTAACAGGAAGGTGGGTTTCTGTTGCCATCCGAGGGCTGAGGGGGCCGGGCCACAGGGTGGTTACAGCACGGGCTCTGGAAAATGCCCACCTGGGCTCAAACTACAGCTGCACTTACTCCTGCTGTGTGACCTTGGGCCACTGATGTCACCTCTCTGAGCCTCTGGCTTCCCACTGAAATCAACAGTGCCTGCCCCTTAGGGTTGTTTGAGGATTGGAGGGCTTGGAACATAGGGACGTGGGCAGCACAGGCCCGGTGTGGATGACGTCGGTGGTTGGCACTCCCTCCCTCGTACTTGTAGCCACACCTGGGCCAGCCTGTGACTGGGTGGTTCGTGCAGGGAGGGGATTAAATCCAAGGAGGCATGAGGCATCAGGTGGGGACAGCAGGCAGACGCCTCTCCTCTCAGATCCCACAGGGAAGGGGACCGGTGGGCTAATGACGGGAACTTGAACCCTCAGAGGAGAATAGGTAATGTGGCTCCAGCTTTAAACTATCGGATTTTTCTCTGGTTTAATCTCATTTCCCAACAAAATTTCCTTTTTTTTTTTTTCTGATTATAGCTTGGTTCCTCTAATGGTGCCCAGAAAATAACGTTTCAGTAAAATTGATGGTAGATTCAGAATGCAATATGTTCCCTCCAAATGGATTTGATGCATTTGGGGTTTTTAAAAATATTCGCAAAACTGTTCATCTTTTATGGGGATGAATGGCAACGTACTAAGGAGGAAAAGCTATGCCCAGGAAACCTCATATATACAAAATACGGCTCTGGTGAAGCCTCTCCTAGCCCCACTGCCACCACCTAGCCAGCTCCTGCCTTGATTTTCTTTTCTTTTCTTTTCTTTTTTTTTTTTTTTGAGGGGTGGTGGTGGCAAATTTTAATTTTATTTTTCTATTGAAGTATATACAGTGTTATATTAGTTTCAGGTGTATAATATTCAACAACTCTACACATTTCTCCGTGTTTGTCATGATATGTGTAGTCTTGATCCCCTTTATTTCACTCATTCCCCCCACCCATCCCCCACCCACTGCTCCCCTCTGGCAACCACCACTTTGTTCCCTGTATTTCAGAGTCTGTTTTTTCTCTCTTTTTTCTTTGTGTTTTTTGTTTTGTTTTGTTTCTTAAATTCCACATATGAGTGAAATCATAAGATATTTGTCTTTCCCTCACTGACTTGTCTCACTGGGCATTATATTCTCTAGTTCCATCCATGTGGTTGCAAATGGCAAGATTTCATTCTTTTTATTTATGACTATACTATTCCACTGCATATACTCTACATCTTCTTTATCTGTTCAGCAGTCAGTGGACACTTGGGCTGCTTCCGTATCTTGGCTATTATAAATAATGCTGCCACAAACAGAGGTGTTCATATCTTTCCAAAGTAGTGTATTTATTTTCTTTGGGATATATACCCAGTAGTGGAATTACTGGATCATACAGTAATTCTATTTTTAATTTTTTTGAGGAATTTCCACACTATTTCCCACAGTGGCTGCACCAGTTTGCATTCCCACCAACACTATACAGGGTGGGGGGTTGTCGTTTTTTTTCTCCACATCCTCACCAACACTTGTTATCTCTTGTGTTTTTAATTCCAGCCATTCTGACAGGTGTGAGGTGATACCGCATTGTGGTTTTGATTTGCATTTCCCTGATGATGAGTGATGTTGAGAGTCTTCTCATGTGTCTGTTGCCCATCTGTTTGTCTTCTTAGGAAAAATGCCTATTCATGTCCTCAGCCCATGTTTTAATTGGGTTATTTGTTCTTCCTGTATTGAGTTGTAGAAGTTCTTTTTATATTTTGAATATTAACCCCTTTTTGGATATGTCATTTATAGATATCTTCTCCCATTCTGTGGATTGCCTTGTCACTCTGTTGATGGTTTTCTTTGCTGTGCAGAAGCTTTTTATTTTGGTGTAGTTCCAATAATTTAATTTTGCTTTTGTTTCCCTTGCCTGAGGAGACAGATCTAGAAAAGTGTTTTTACGGCTGATGTCAGAGAAATTACTGCCTGTGTTTTCTTTTAGAAATTTTATGGTTTCAGGTCTGACATTTAGGTCTGTAATCCATTTTGAGTTTATTTTTGTGAGTGGTGTAAGAAAGTAGTCCAGTTTCATTCTTTTGCATGTGGCTGTTCAGTTTTCCCAGCACCATTTACTGAAGATACTCTCTTTTCCCCGCTGCCACCAGCCCACCTGGCTCCTGTCTTGGCTTTCTTGTGTGAACAAAGGAACCATCCAAAGCAAACCTCATGAAATATGCAAACATTCCCTCCTTTCATTTCAGCACACATTTTTCCAACACCTTTTCTGTGCAGAGCATAAAAAAGACCCTGTAGAGGAGGCATGGGTTGGTGAGGTCCTGTAGAAGGCCCCCTCGGTGGGGACACTGACCCTATAGATATGGCTCTCTCACTCAGACAAAACACCATGTCATGCCATCCAACAGGGATTAGGGTCCAGTAGTTCTGAGGCAGGAGCGAGGTTTCTCAGCTGGAGCTTCCTGGATGAGGCTTGTGAAGGGGATTTGGTTATACTGGAGGGACAATCCAAGCAGAAGGAACAGCATGAGCCAGGTTTATAGCCCTAGGTGGTGTTCACCAGTCACAGATTCCTTTAGAGCATTTGAACATGGCCTGTCTGAATTGAAAGCACTGTCAGCACTGTAGGTGTAAAATGCACACTGGGCTTCCATGGCATGAATATATACACTTTTTGTATTGATTCCATAATGAATGGTGATATCTTGGATTAAATAAACTATACAATTAAAATTAATTTCACCTGCACCTTTTCATACCGTGACTTGCCTTCTCTTCCTGCTGGACAGCCCTGGTCTGTAGTCAGAGAGGCCTGAGGTATGAGGTGTCCTGATGCTTTTTCTCCCAGCACCATCTTGTCCGTGACCCCTAGCTGCTTATATTACCCATCCTTCACTGACCAGGAAGCTCTTGGAACCCCCATCCCTGCTGTGCTGCCAGAGTGCTCAGAATTTTCAGCCTCACTTCCTTCTCTGTACAGTGTCCTACTCAATATCAGAGTTTATCTAGGAGCATCTCTGGAGTGCCCAAATCACTGTCTCCCTCCACCACATCAGGGACACTGAGGCAGAGGCTCTTAGAGGACTTGAATGAGGGGACATCAAGCAGGGAGGGCAGTTGATGGCTGGCAGACAGTCCCCATGGAATTATACTCCTCTTAGAACCACCTACCCCATCCACACCTCTCCAGTGACTGAGGGGAGAAGAGATCCTGAGGAGGTGTGTAGTGTTTATGGTCACTGGAGGCCCCAGGCACACCCAAGGGAGATGGACATATGCCAGCGTGCTCATCACATGCAGGGAGTTCTCTGGGCTCCAGGTGTGTGCTGGGCATGGTCAGAGAAGATCACCAAGGCTTGTCAAATGACTATGTTTACTAGGATTCTCCAGA